TGTGTAACCACCTTATGTAGGTCGGATGATTGAAACGGTCACCAGGGCAAGGGAAAGCTCGAAAGCGATGAGGATCCTGCAGGAGAACGGTGAAACACGTCTACCCTTTTCAGTATTCTTCAATTTCACACATAAAAGTGGATCTATCACCGCAGCTCTACCTCAACCGTCTCCAAAATTCATTCTGGAAAAAAAAAAAAAAAATCAGTGCTAACATTTCGCTATTCAAAGGCAGGAGTTCCACTGAATGTACTGCAAGCTGGTGAGCCATGAACAGTCATCGATCGGCTTATAGGGGCAACGTGACCACTAACTCTGCGACTCTTGGGAAGTACTTTTGATTCTATTACATCCGCCTCGCTCTCGACAGGAAAAAGGCAAAGGCGTTTGGAGGAAGTTTCGGTAGACTTTGCCGGAATCACTGGCTTAACTTCATCCTACTGTGATGATGATGTTGTTACAAGATGAGGAAATTCGCTGCCCTGTAACAGCGCACATCTCCACGCAGACTTTTGTAAATTATGTCTTACCAAGAGACCTTAGACTAAAACAATGATGATAACGTGGGCCAAACATGGCCCACTCGTTGCAGGCCGCGTGAAACCATGGGGGCTACATATGGCCCAGATCGATGTGATCAATTTTTGCGTAAACGCTGGAATGGTCTTGTAAATTCACTTTTGTGCACTCCACTCTCAGAATTCACACATCTAAAGTTGGGTGGCCTGCGCTCGTAAAAACGGGCCAGTAAAAAAAAATCCTGATCGGCCTGGAAAAATCAAAGGTTGCGCTGTCGTCCATGTTTCCACCAAACTACAAAGCGCCACCGAAATTCTGTATGTTTTTGAAAAGAGAGAAAAACACACCTTTTCCAAGAGCTTCGCATTCCATTCCCCATTTTCGTTGCATCTCCAAAGAATCACCATTTGGTCATGAAATAAAAAAAATAGAAGAATAGAAATGATGACAAATAAATAAATTATTAGGCATAGCCACCTAGAAGCCAGAATTCAGACGCGGATCATGGAAATTTGAGAGAGAGAGCCATTTGAGGAAAGCCAACAAATATAGGTTCCCATATAGGCTGTCAGTGGAATAATAAAAAGTATTTCGAAAAGCGTCTTGTCTTGGGGTCGGTCCAAAAATTGTGGACCGAACCCAAGTTATAACTTCTATAATATATAAGTATAAAAAACAAAATCACCACTAATTATATCATTATTAAATAAAAATTCTACTGCTTATGAAAAATTACCAGTCCGCAACTAGCGATCGTGTAGGACGAATGGTTGACCACTGGACACCACGCAACATCCCGCACAAAATCAGTGTGACCTGCTAAAGATTTTTCCACGGGTCACACTCACCCTTTTCATCCACCCTGAAATGAAGGAAAAACCATTGTGTTGACATCTTGCTGTAATAGATGTTATCAAGGCGTAATCAGTACACGTTAGAAAGGTAATGATATGTACCAACACCCAGATTTTGACGAGATTGTCGTTCCCGCAAGAAGGCCAGTCTTTTCGTATAAGGTCGATCACCAGCGTCTCCTACCACTCGTTGGACTGGACACCAAGAGACTGCATTGACTCCCTGATAACATGCATTTGTAGGTATCGATTCCATTCACTACAACAATTGTGATGG